TGCCCTTACCCCTATCATCCTCTAAATAGCCATCATGTTCGTCAATGTAATCAATTTTACAGTCATTGTCCATTTCGTCATTCTAATCCATAACGTCGTCCTCTTCACCATCATCATCAATCTGATCAGATGCATTGTTATCACTCACGACCATCATAGCATCATTTGTGAATGGTAATGGACCCACTACATTTTCGAGAGGTGGTTGCATTTGTTGCCAAGAATGAAGTATTTAGTTTGATGCACATTTCGATCAAAATTGTGTAGACATCATTTACAGGAATCTCATATGTATACTGGGCTACTCAAACTCATGTGCATATATCAATGGTGATTGCCATTGTTGTTTGTTAGGAAATCTATGGTGTGGTATGTCTGAATCATTATAATTCAGTTGTCGGTGATTACTATGTTGGACACCATGTTCATGTGAAATAACATTTGCATTTCGTGCCTTAACTGTCATAAACACTACAACTGTCCTCTTATCTAGTAGAATACATGCTACATTTTCATCGTTTCTGATAACTATGTGCAAAACCCCTGCAACATGATTAAGCAATGCATGTAACTCAATTTTGTTAGTTCGTGAATTACCCTAACAACCTTTTCAACCAATTGCATTAGTTTCGAAAATGACAAATTACTCGCAACATCTTTCACTTGTGTCTCACCACTCTTGTAAGTGTCATCGACTCAATGACCACTGTATGTAATAACAAGCTTCACATTTGATAGACCGTTAAAATTTAACAAAAAATAAGTGTCACAATCAATCAATTTATCAAAAATTACCCTTCAATGCATAGAAACTAGTCATGTAATGCCTAGGTCATGCAATAACATAAAGTAAGTTTCACAATGCCTAATACACATTCACGCAATGCTTAAAAACTAGTTAAGAAATGCCTTAAAACAAGAGATACATTGCACAACTCACGCAACGCCTATAAGCTAGTATCGTAATAGCTAATACTAAGTCACACAATGCCCAATATCCACTCACATTATGCCAAGTTAACTAGTCAAGCAATGGCCCTATGTCACGCAATACTTAAAACTAGTCACGCAATGTCTAAAAACTAGTTAATAAATGCCTCAAAACAAGAGATGCATTGCATAATTCATGCAGCACCTATAAGCTAGTCTCATAATACCTAATAATAAGTCACATAATGCCTAATATCCACTAACGTTATGCCAACTTAACTAGTCATGCAATGGCCCTAAGTCATATAATACATAAAAACCAGTTATGAAATATATAACAATCAATCACACAATCCCTAATATCCATTCACACAATACCATATCCATTCACACAAAGCCAAATATCCATTCACATAATGCCTATAAACAAAATAATATTCCAACTATTGTAATAATACCTTTGCTTCTCTTATATAAATAAAAAATTAAGAAATTAGGGTAAGTAAACAAGCTATTCAACACAATTGAAATTAATGGCAATTACCATTTATGGAAAATATGTAATAAATCAAAATTTTTATTCATATAGCTGAAACTAAGTAGATGATACATCATAAGAACCATGTATTATGTGCCTTCCATGGTTTATTTCTTCATAATCTCATTTACTATTTCATAAATTTTAGCTAAAATCTTTTTATTATCTAGCATTTCTGTCTCTAAAACTTTTGTCCTAACCAGCACCTTGTCGATCAAAACATGCAATTCGTTTTTCATGTTCTCAATGACATCCATCAATTTTCTCATATATGTTACAACGTATTCAGGGATATCTTCTTTTTTATAAGCAACGCCCTTCTCGATTTTGCCTTTGGAACGTTTAGAAGCCATGAGAATTTTGAGATTTTGTGACTTTCCCTCAAATGATTTTATTGAAATGGACAATGGTTCCTTTTATAGGCATGAATGTTGGCTCTTGGAAGGGTGTTCAATGGTTTTAAGCTTGTTTTCTAATGAATACGGTTAGTCCATAAATCAATGCAATAAGTGCTTTAAAGACAATTTCAGAGTTTTGTGTCAATTGAATTTGGATGGCTGTCTACATCAATATAAGTGGAATTAAGGGGGCTAAATTGGTTATGAAGCATTCGTAGTTCTCTTCTAATTTTACAGAATTGGTTATTAAAGGGGCATGAATCCTAAAACCTTGTCAAGCAATGCACAAGTCACGCAATTTCTAAAATCTAATCTCGCAATGCCTCTTATCAAGTCCTACATTGTCTAATATTCAGTCACTTAATGCCAAATAAACATGTTATGTAATTCCTAATAATCAATCATGCAATGTTTAAGTCGTGTAATACAAAACTACTAGTCATGCAATGCCTAATATCTAGTTACACACCTTAATATCCAGTGACATAATACCTTAAAAATATTCACGAATTGCCTAATAACTAGTTGATTTCACCACTCCCATCCAAGTTTAATTTGTTAAAGTCATATAATTTACTCGTCAACTTTTAGGTTCTATTAATATAAACAAATAAATCTAAGAACCCAAAACATATACCTTGATGTCATTTCTACTCTTTAGGATGCAATAGGCAATTAGATGGCAATATGGACCTTGATGGCATTAGAGAGCTAGATGGCTAGATAAACAAATCGAGATTTAATTTTAGAGTTTTTATCTGAATGGTAGGATAGAAGAAACTAGGACCATTAATTTAGAGTAAATTGTTTAAAGGGCATTGTTGTTAAGCCATGCCAAAAATTATCTAAAAACAGTTAAAATTATAATGAAGGTTATTTTTCAATTAAGCTTATGATAAGGGTTAATTCTCACAATTTCCCCTTGTTAATATAGTTAAATAGGTTTTTATTAATTAGCCTTATCAATAAGGTCAGACTTACTATAATGTTCACCATTATAGTAATTTAAGACATAATACATAAAAATATCCTTGAATTATTTAGAAATGTTGAAATAAACCTTTATTATTCTATTACATTCAATTAAGTATTTATAATTTTATTTTGAATTGTTAGATTAATAAGTTCAATATAGAAAAATCCAAGAGGGGTGTGAATTGGGCTGTTTTGTAAATTTTGAGAACCTTTTTGATTTTTAGAGAAATAAGTCCCCTCTTAACTCAAATGCTCAATTTGAATGTAAACTAGTTGACCTTTTAATCAATGAAAGAAAATTAACTTTCGAGTAAAAATGAGAGTGAAAAATTTGACACAAGTATTTTATAGAGGTTCGGCTTCCTTGCTTACCTCCTCTACCTTAGATTCACTAAAGAATTTAAAATCCATTATTTGATCAATATTCGATACAATACCTTTTATGAATCAAACATAACCTTTCAACCTAATGCCTTTTTACGGTTAAAGCACAATCACTCTACTTTTTCTATTGGTTAAGGTATAACCACTTAAATAAGTACAATGAAAGAAATGTAGGTGCAACTAATATGTCTCTTAAAGGCTAAATAGAGAATTTGGTACAGTATTTAATGAAGAGATGAAGACTCAATAAATGCTTGACTAGAAAGCTTTAAGAATTCAAGAATAGTACAATAGGCTTTGAATGAATTTATGACTAATTCTTTTGTGTTGAGCTATGTTTTCAAGTCTTCCAACTTGCTTAGATGTTGAAGGATATTATATTTATAATATCTAATACTTTAAGGGTAGTGGGGAGTGCATTTAATATGAAAATAGCCATTCTTCACTTCAATCAATGCTCAAACGATCATATTGTATCGATATAGATGTGAATGCATCGATACATTCTTTTTATTTTTTGCATTCTTGACAAGATGTGTCGACATATTTATGAATGTATCGATACATTTTGCACTTGCTTGCAAGAAGTTTAACATTTTACTTAAAATGTATCGATACATTTGTGAGATGTTTCGATACTTTTGAGTTAGCAGCTATTTTGTCTCAATTCTATCAATACATTTGAAAAAGTATTAATAGATTGAGTTTGACTTTTAAAGCTTTAATTGTTTTGAGGAACGTGTATTGATATAAAATGAACATGTATCTATAGATTTGGACCAAAATATGTTTTTCAAAGCTTTTTTTATTTCTTTTCTTTTTCAAACTCACTTGATAATGTTTGGGGATATAAGAGCTTTGATATTTGAAATCATGGATGAATTTTGATCATTTCTTTTTCTGTTGTCATTTCAAAATATAAAGTGGATTTGAACATCGCAAGGCTAATATAAATTAAATAAATTTTTATAATTTATGATTGAATTGTTATTTGTCAAAATATTATTTATTGTTTTATATTATATAATATTGATGTGACATATTAATTACTATGTTAATACAAAATCATGTAATACAAAAAATGACAAGTAAGTGATGTTCTGACTATACCATAAATGACTTAGTTGAATGAATAAAATTTTATTTAAATTTTTTAAAACAATTCCAACTTGAAAAGGGCACCCTTTCAACGTCTTTCTTACAACGGCGCCGTTGAATCTTTACCCGGCCAGAGCTCCGGTCTCCTCTGTTTTCGAAAAGGAGCAAATATTTCTGTTTCCTTCAAATTGCGTCTAGAACCAGAACAGACGCAGAAGGGCCAATTCTCCAAAACCAAAACTCTGGTAGCTGCTAATCCCTAACCATTATTTTGTTTCCTCTTTATTCGCTTGTCCTCGAAGCTTTCAATCACCTTTTCCCTTGAAACATCATCAAAGATGATTTGGCGGCAAAACCCGTCAATTGAATGCCAAATGGAGGATAGGTTAATCAAAAAAGCACCCAGGAGAACACTGAATTTAGCTCAATTATGGTCTAAACCTCCATTTGTGCACTGAAGCAACTCAAATATCGTGCTTAGGGCATTCTTTTTCTTCTTTAATGTTTCTCCTATGCTTGCAACAATTATTTATTTATTATTAACGTGTGCTTGTTTTTCATGTATAGGAGTCGACAATGATGAAAGTTCCCTCTTTGGTTTCTCTGAGCATCGACGCAGTTAAAAGAGAACTTCTTCATGGTAATTTCTTTCCCCTTTTAAATGCTTGTAGTGAGCACTGATGGGACAGCCGCAACCGCCCTTTTACCTCTCCAAGGCAACCGTAGCACTACCGCAACTCCCTCACTCTCGCACCTCCACACCATGTCGTTTCAGTCCTCCCCCTCAGATCTAGCCTAAACATTCAAACATCGGCTCCCAAGAACCTAAACAAGCCTTAAACCCGAAAGCTATTACTAAGTTCTCTTTTTCTTTTTCTCTCTAAGCCGCAGCCTCTCTATTCTCTCTAATACCTCTCGGCCAACCACCAAATCTCTTCAAACATGTTTCCCTTGCTCATCTCAGGGTCGACGCCATTGAAGTCCTCGTTGCCGAGGTCTGGTGTTCATCTCCTTCACCCTATATGCCGTTCAGCCCAGTCACCCAAAACTCCCTCTCCTCTCGCTTCTCCTGAATCACCTCTCAACCCTGCTCCAGCGTCTCCCGAATCACTGGAAGACTCTCTTGCTGGGATTAATGCTACTCTTAGAGATATCAATCACACATTGATTGACATCTCTAAAGTAATAGCAAACAAATGAATCTGAATAGTTTTCAATTTCAATGTCTAGTACCTAATGTTTTTAGAGGATCAATATGAATAGTTTTCAATCTGAATACTCTGTCTTATGCTTTTTGCTTCTGTTTTAATGCTTGTTATGTTTTATAGTGCTGTTATATTTCTGCCCTGCTACTGGAACGATTAGTAGTTATCAAGATGATGCGGGAATTATTTACATAATTCTCTGTTTAATTTACATTGAAGGCTAAGAAAGGTCTTATGTAAGTTCAAATGGCATGAAACTTTAATTGGTCTGGTTAGTGTTATTGGGTACACTTGAGTATTGTCATGTGAAGTGCACTGTTTTGGCAATGGATATTCTGTTGCTAGATGTGTATAGGTATGAGCTATGTCATAGGTAGGTTCAGATTGTATCCAGGTTGTGATGGGATCTCTTCTCTGCTCCATTGTTTTTGCTTTTATGGAGGTGTATATATCTATGTGAATGTAAGGTTGATCCCACCTGCAACCTGGGTGGTTTTGTGTGTCTAGCTTCTGTAAGGCAAGGTAGGTGCCAATGGGTGCCAAGCCTACTTGGTGTAACCTGTCCCCCTATGAACAAGGTTAGTTTACTAGTTTTTGTACAATATTTTTTTTTGTAATGAAACTTGACAAATTACCGTAAAAAAAAAAAAATACGGATGGAATTGTGTGAGAAATGCGAAGTTGTAAAGAAAAATGCAGTTTTTTTTATTTCTTTTTTTGGTGCTTCTGTCTTTTCATAAATTGATGTTTTCCCATTCAAAATTGTTGAATTGAATCATTGATTGTGCTGGTTGCAGGCGATGATCTTATACCGCATGTCTATGAGCTTCCACCAGAGTTGTTCAAGTCCTTAGTAAATTGTCTACCTCCTTTGGCCTTGCAAAAGTTGCAAAGTGAAATGTTAGTTAAATTGATGTTTACCTCATTTATGTTTTCCAGTCAGTTTTTGAATTTATAACTGTTGTAGCTGAATGATTCTGGATATCTGCATATTTCTCCTGCTAAAGTTCACGTATGGGTGAAGAAAATGTGAAATTTCTTTTTTTAAAAGAGGAAAATTTGTCAAATAGGTGGAGAAATGTTTTACTAGGTTATTTAACTCTTGAATCTTCTAACAAATGAGTGTGATCATGAAAGATTTTACGTCAGGTAGTTATGACTATTTTTTTATTTAAAGATTTTACTTAAGGTAGTTATTACTATTTTTTTTTTGTTCTTTTGATATTACTTGTTTAACTTTTGCTAACTTGCTTCTATATGTGGGTGACTTAATTGTTCTTGGAACGGTATTAACTTTCTTTGAGCAGGCCGTTTAGGAGCTATGATGATTATGATTCTACTAGTGATGACTTAAAAAATGGGAGAAAACGTGGAAGGTATGTTAGATTAAATGACTCTACATCCCCGCGTTGGTTGATGCAGAAAGTGAGAGTAGAACTGTGAGATGACTGTGTAATGCTATTTTCATGCAGAAATGGGAATTTCGATAAAGCATGGAAGGCATTGTTTAAGTTGCGTTGGCCTGATCTTGTAAATCGTGTCCAACCAGTTGATTGGCAGCAGATTTATTGGGAAACACATGTGCAAAAGTAATGTTCTACAATTACGCAAGCTAATTACTTATTACTTATTGGCCTATTCATTACTTCTATTCATGAACCATTGTTTGTTTGCTTTTTTTTTTTTTTTCTTTTTTGGTTTTGTTAAACTGAAAGACAGTTGCCTAGATGAAGCAGCAGAGCTGGCTTTGCTCCCATCATTTAGTGGATGCCTTGGTGCAATACTGATTTCAGGTTCTTTGATACATAGCCCTTGTAATCAATGTGATTTTGAAAGTTCTGGGTGAAAATATAGCGAATTGAATACACGTTTCTGTCTCTTGCTAGCCTTTACATATGTGTAGGACTTCATATACTCCCTCTGTCCCATAAAAACTGTCTTGTTTGCTTACCTTTAGTTGTCCCGAATTAATTTCTTGTTTTGAAAAGACAAAGAAAATTCATTGTTGCTTTCCCTTACTACCCTCAACTATAACCACTCACTTTCCTCTCTTTTTCAAATTAAGGGTAGCTTTGGAAAGAAAATTATAATCAATGTAAGTCAAAATTCAACCTAAAATTTCTTAAACTTTGTGCAAAGTGAAAATCAGACACTATAAATGAGATGTAGGGAGTATTTTCTATCGTAAATCAAATGATTTTGCCATTTTGATGGTAGATATTAACCGATTTGTTTGCTTGTCATCCAACAAAAGGAGAATCAATAATAAAAGATATTTTATTAATAATGATGTTTGCATGGATGCCTTCTTGCACATGGCTTGAGGGGCAAAGTTCTGGTGGTCAATAATACCGCCATGCGAATCTATGGTGGAGAGCTTGAGAACTACATTGCACAACTCAACTTATCATTAATATAGTACATATTCCTAAACCTAACTTCACACCCCTTCCCCCTCCTTCAGATTTGCCTTTGTTACTCTAGTGTGAATTTTTAATGTATTGTATAATAAAAGCAAGTGAAGAAATTTCCTTTTAGCATGAATTGAGTTGTGTATTTTTGTTTTATGTTGTTTTAACTTTTAAAATTATCTTAACAATATTGTAAAAGTTCGTTTCTCTCCCTATCTCTTCTTTTGTGGTGCAGAGAACATACTGAAATATATTGGTTATGTGGATCATACGAGTAACTCAGCTTCAGATATCTTGAAATTGTCTTATCACTGCCAACAATTTGGCAATTATGCTAGGTAAACTCTAATGTCATATTTGTATATTCGTAGAGGACATGCCCATGTTCCTTAATTCACAAGGGAATGCAGTTGTAAATTATAAATATGAGTCAAACTATTTTTCCTTGACGACATTTTTTCTTTTTTCCCCTCTGCACATCCTGATTTTACTGATTTATGTGTTTCATACTACATTTTGTTTCCCCTACATTTTCTCTTGTAATTAAGCAGCCATACAGAACTGCTCTATTGATATTTATCTAGTTTTAGATTACCGGTGTTATTGCCCCCAATCCTTAAAAAGAAGAAAAATGAAATACTTCTTTGGGTTGCTTCAATTAGTTTTCTCTTTCTAAAATTTTGACTTGTGCAAATGTTTAGGTTCTTATATTTGTTAGTTTGTTGTGCAGATGTTTGAGACTTCAAAATGTGCTCTGTGTTGTAGAATCTTGTGTAAGTTTGTAATTTATATAAAGTTGCTTTATCTCTCTCTCCGTCTCTGGATACATGAAGAATATAACTAGTTTTCTCAATTTTTGATCAAATTTTGTGTGTTTGGCTTTAACCTATTTTATGGGACGTGTAAACTTTCTGACAGAATCAGAGTTTGATAAAAATTCAATAAGCTGGTAATGCCAGACTTTTTTTGTCATAGGGGAATGCTGTCAGTATAAATATTCATATTAGGTCATGGTAACCAGATTATCTCTGTCATAAGTGTTTGTATGCATCGATGGGAGTGTCTGAAAAAGAAAAGAGAGTTGGAGTGCATACGTTTTCACATCTTAGAAGTTTTTCAACTTTTTTGCTTCCTCTGCCAGTCATTTCTTTTCTTTCAATATACTCATGAATCTTAGCATATTCAGTACGTCTATGGGGAATGTGTGCACCAACTTAATGTCCGCCAGCTGATGCCTTTTTGTTGCAGCAACTTTTGAGGAACTCCAAGTTGCAAAGCTTGGTGTTACGGTGGATCAGATCCTTGGAACATGTAAGCTTAATTCCTTTTTTGCATCAGTAAATAGTTGGGGATTAAGTGCTTGCATAAGACATTAGTCTTTTCTTTCTTACCTTAATGACATGGGAGCAGTATCCATGAAATGTAGATTAGCTTTAAACTGGATGGTTTCTGTGATCAGGATTTGTCAGGCTATATACATGATTATTTTAGGGTCCATAGGGATGATTTAGGACTGGTCATAAGTATGACTGGAAAAAAAGACGAAAGAAGAAAAGATTCAGGATTAACACTTAAGAGTCAGGGTTGCCTCACCCAATTTCAAAGAATGTATACAGCTGCTGATTTCTCATAAACATGTTCTTCATTAATTGAAAGAAGTTACCCACTTATTTGTTGAGCTCTAGCAATCCTATTACTAGGGGCTAGGATGACACATCTATCTTTTCCTCTTATTTGCTTTTCTTTAATCCCATAGTTGAATTTTAATCCTGAAATTTTTACAGCAGGTATAAAAAATTGGAAAATCTTCATTTCCATGTGTTCAGGGATTTTCCAGAAATTTATTTAGATATATGTCAAATGCTTCTTTTGTTGGCTGATCTGATTGTGTATTACTTCCTCCTTTTGCAGGCTGATGGATTATGCAAACTTCTCAGTCAGAATTGTAAAACCTTAACATCTCTTGAATTTGTACACTGCAAACTTTCTTCCAGCTTTATGGATGCTATTTGTGGTTCCCTGTACTTGGGAGGTGCGGAGACTCACCAAATACAGCACTTCTCTGTTAGCACTTCAAGCTTTCTTGAAACAGATCCAGTTTCCTTAGCTCATAGACTTGCATTGTGTCTATCAGCAGGAAGGTACTGTTGGTGAATTTATGGGTTATATACAATTCTGGTGATTATTTGAGGTGTTTGACCATGACATGCTCATCAATCCTCTGACCTTTTGGGTAGGGGTTGTTATTCAATGATAATATTTGTTGCATGATCACCAAAATATTGAATTAATTTGTGTGACAAACATTGAAGTGGCTATGTTTAGACGAGGGATTTTCTCTCCTTGCACGCATGGCTACTCATGGTACTGAAATTAAGAATACTAGTGATAGAATGACTTGTGGTTGCTTCATGTGGAAGAACATTTACTTGCAGCTTATTTAGTTGATCATAGGCTGGGAGAAGTTTAGCATGTCTGGTTTACAACTAAGCATTAGAAGTGCAATCATACTACTAGAGGTAGTTGTAAGGGTTGTGTTAGAATTAATTTGGTAAATTAGCACCCATCTCATCTGGTGAAGTAACATGTGGGAATCTGTAATTGAAGGAAAACAAGTATTACTTTTATTTGGTCAGTATGTGACATATTTGTCCTATAATGAAAATAGCCAAGTTTATATGGTTATAATTATTCTCTAAAAATCCAGAGGAATGCTAGAATGTTTGCATATGATTTCTTTGCTAAGGACTTGAGCAGGTTTCTGCCATAGAACATCTAACAGGCGTATGTTAAATTATTGCAAGTTTTTGTATTGATTTAGGCTAAAGTGAAGGGTTTGTATAATTTAAGTTTCTCGGTTATTTAAATTTATACATCTCTGAAAAGTTGGTTGCAACATTCTTTATCCAGCAATTTAACCTGTTACACTTATGCATACATATAATTCTTTTTGTTCATAGGTCCTTGTGTTCATTAAAGCTATGTGACAGCCACCTGGATTGGAATTTTGCCAGAAGGGTTTTCAGTACTCTGCTTGATGCTTCATCCAGTCTATCAATCCTTGACCTTTCAGAGAACAATGTTGAGTCATGCACTTGCATTAAAATTTTCGTTTAAGTTTTAACATTTATCAATTTCTTATATTGTTAGCCATCATAAATCTTTAATCCATATCTCGCAGATATCAGGATGGCTGTCGAATTTCAACTGGAGATCAAATGCCCTTCTGTCATCTTCAGGAATGGCCAAATCTTTGCAGTCATTGCGCATCCTCAATCTACGGTATGTCAGCATGGATGCACTGTTACTCTTCATGTAATTATTGTTCCTTAACTCATGACTCTGTACTAAATTGACCAGTGATCATGATGTCACTCGTAACCATTTCACAAGGGTTTTGAGGATGTTAACTGCTAGACAATGTCAGCTTTTTATTGTACGAAACCTCTGTGTGTTTTAAAATGTATTTCTGAACCATGAAAGAACATTCCTTTTAGGGGAAATAATCTACGGAAAGATGATGCTGGTAGCCTAAGATATGCCCTGGTTCATATGCCGAGCTTGGAGATTTTGGACCTTAGTGACAACCCAATTGAAGATGATGGCATAAGGTCAGCAAGTATATGTCTTACAATGCTTTGTGATAAAACTTAGATATGATATCTCACAACCTGCATTTGAATTCTGCAGAAGTTTAATCCCTTATTTTGCCGAAGCATCTGAAAAGGTTTTTCCCTTGGCTGATTTGAATTTGGAGAACTGTGAGCTTTCCTGTGACGGAGTGACTCAACTTCTGGATGCCCTATCAACCTTAGGAAGACCATTGAATTCTCTCTCCGTTGCTGATAATGGCCTTGGCAGGTTTGTCTGGATAATACTGGCATAGGAGTTACCTTTTAACATCTATGTCTCTTGAGAAGGATTGAGCTTATAATTGATGTAATCCAGCCAAGTAGCAGAAGCTTTAGGAAACTTTTGGGGTACATCTATTCAAGCATTGAATCTCGAAGGTATTGGACTGGGTCCCTCTGGATTTCGGAAACTAAAAGATGTAGGAATGGAGGACTTGATGCTTGTTGAAATTAACATAAGGTTTGGATCTATGCTTCAGTTATTTTTCCTTTTTTTCAGTAGTTTCTATATGATAAAGCAATAACCATGTTTATGTCTTTGTTATTTAGCAAAAACCGTGGTGGCATTGAAACTGCAAAGTTTTTGTCAAAGCTTATCCAGCAGGCTCCTAAACTGATTGCAGTCAATGCAGCATATAATCTTATGCCTGTAGAATCCTTGACCATAATATGCTCTGCACTGAAGACTGCTACGGGTATTTATTACAACAAGAAGTTGTTAAAATTTATTTTTATTGTTGGCTTATTTTCATCAATATTCCTTCTGATGTCGGCATTACCAGATATCGACAGCACAATTGGAAGCATCATTTTATCTTCAATTTGAATGCATCTCAATTTTTTTCTTGCATAAGCAACATCCTTACCTGCACACACTCACTGCACTTCCAGGTTGCAACTATGCATCTTTGATCTCAAATTTTGTATAATGCAGAAGATAGCATCCAATGGGGTTTGTAAAATAAAAATTTAAAGATCTTTATATTCCCTAATGGCATCCAATGTTTTACTCATTATGTTAATGGAAGAGTTGGTGATTTTTATATTGCAAATGAAGAAAAGGTTTGTTATTGTATAGGTCATCTAGAGCAAGTGGACTTGACGGGGAATATTTGGGACTATCAGCCATCTCATGATACCTTGCTTTCTGAATTTCAACATAATGGAAGGCCTATTTTGATTCTTCCCTCATCGGTAGTCTCAGATGTACCTTATGATGATGATCCTTAGCTGACATTGATCTGCTGCATCATGATGTTTTGTTGTCTATTGAAACCACTGATTTTAGTTTATCAGTGTGACAAAAGTTTTAGAAATGTCAAGCTTAAGTAATATTGTCTTTGTTTAATGTTGCATGCTTTAGTTCTTCCCGTCATGAGTAGCTAGCATTGTTGGATGGATGGACTGGCCTGATTTTGGTTGTTGCGTGTTTGCTATTAAATACATTTTCGGTGCAAGTTTAGTGATTCAAGGTGTTAGCTAGTTATGAATTACGCTTTCTACTGGCCTAACTAGTTTGGTTGGTTTTGAATTTTTGCAAGGCATTATAAATGAGTTTGTTTTGTGCAATTATCCATTTCTTAGTTTCAGAAAATTTCTATTTCTCTACTGCAGTCATTTTAAATGCCAATAACTCTAACAAGTCAATGTATTCTGTATAGCACATTTGTTTACTAGGACGGGGATTTGAACTTTTTTTTTTTTCAGATGTTTAGGGTTGCTATTATAAATTCCTTAGTTTTACTGAATTTATTTGACAATTTGCTTTCACTGGCCAAGCTATCTGTGCATCTAATGGGAAGCAGATGATGGCTGGCATTATTGCTTCCTATGCTACGGTTGAAAGAAATAGAGTTGAGTTGATGAAATAAGAAAGGATGAATTCTACTATTTAGCACCACAGACTGTTCATCATTAACCAGATTTAGGTGAATGACAAAGCAAGCACAGAATAGAAGAGGTATGACTCTCCACCTGAAAAGTCTAGTGATGGGTACTGCATTAGTGATATATGTGCTCTTTTTTCTCCCTTGGTGGTTCATCGCCTTTTACTTTCTAGCTTTCAAGGGACGACTTTGTTTCCCCTTTTGCTCAGCTGACCCCAGTGTACGGAACATATCTATTACATGCTTTGGGGTTTTCTCATTCTGCCATGTGTTAGCCTAAAGAAAGGCCACGTTTTCAAGTTTGGACTTTTAAATTTCTATACGAGTTTTTGCAAAGGAAAAAATCACGGCTCATGAGTGAGTTAGAATAAAACTTGTTCAATCTTAAATTCTTAAGCTTGGTTAACTCAAATAAGAAATTGAATTGAGTTTGAGTTCTAATATTGAAAACTTGATCAACTCATGAGCTTAATCAAGATTTTATCTTTTCATAGATCATCAATTTTGTTGAATTTATCTTTACATAAATTATCATTTTAATTGTTGGATTTCAAATTCTAGCCATTGGCGGAGTCAAATTAGTGCAACAAGTATGGATATCTAGTTAATCAATTAACTAGTTGAAATCTTGAAATTTGTAATGAATTTTTTTGTGAATATTTATTTATGGTATTTATATTTAGATGTGAATGTAAATAAGATTGGATTAACATCAAGATTTAATCTATCTAATCTCTTAGTATTATTTTCATTTTATAAATTTTATTAAGATATGAGGTTATTTGCCTGTAAATAGATTCTTCATTTCATTTGTAATACATATTTCAATAATATTTTTTTACTTCTTGTAAATACTTTCTCTTATAGTTGTTTTTTTAATTATACTTCTTAACACGTTATCAGCACGATTTTATGATTTTTCAAGTTTCGAAATTATTTTGTTTTCATATTTTCAAGCTTTCAAAGGATTCTAATGATTGGGTTTTGATTTTTATTTTTAACAAATCAGGTAAGTGTTGATATTATTTTGTTTTCATCATCTTCTAGTTTTAAAAAGATTTCAATGGTTGGTTTTTAATTTCTAGTTTTAACAAATTAGATAAGTAACTTGATATTTCATTCCCTAAAAAGATATCAACTTTAATATGAATTTCATTATCATGTAATATATATATATATATATATTATATTGTCTTTTAATTGAATAGTGAATTTGCTATTATATAGCTATTAATGAAAAATTATGAATGTTCTTTTCTTAAACTAAATGTGACAAACGAGCTGCTAATAAAAATATTATAAATTTGTTTATTTCTTGAAGTGAATGCGATATCATTTCATAATTATAGTCATAGTCATGAATTCATTCATTCTTTTAAATAAACGCAACATCATTTAATAATTATGATTTTCATAATAATTTATATTATTACTATTTTAATTCTAAGAATAATTATATCATCAGAAGTGGATGGATGATTTTATCATCAAAATTTAAGAATAATTTTACCATTTAAAATGGATAAATAATTTTACCATCAAAAGTTGATAGATTCTTTAACCCATTAATCCATTAAAAATGGATAATCCACCTAAAGTGGATAATCCATCATAAGTGGATTACCTACAAAAACTAGATAGATAATTTTACCATCAGAATTGAATAGATGCCTTAACCCACTAATCTACTAAGAGTAGATAATCCAGTAGAAGTGGATAATCCATCATAAGTGGATTATTCATCAAAAGTGGATGAATACTTTTAATCTTTTAAAAGTTGATGAATAATGAAAAGAAAAAAGTGGAAAGAATAATAAGAATATAGAAAACGTATTGTCATTGATGTAGAATAAAAGACCATTGGTCACGTATTTGTTGTAGATATTAAATTTTATCAATCATTATTGAAAATTAAAATATCTTGTGATGATTTTAACTATTGTAAAATTAATATAGCACATCAAGATATTTGTTCACTTTGAAAGAGGAATTTATTATATGATTGGTAATGGAAATATCCATTGTTGATTTTCTTGTCCTGAAAAAAGAATTGATCATTTGATTAGTAATGGAAATATTCGAGAATAAACTTAGTAGTAATTGGTATATTTTAGTATAACTATATTATGAAAATGCTTTAATATGTTCTTATTATATATTTTAATTATGTATTTATGTTCTTTTGTGTTAACTTGTAAATTTTTTATTGTATATATCTTATTTTATTGAAGAAAAATATAGATATTCATCTTGTTGGATCCAAGATATATGATGTAAATATATGTCTAGCAGATATTGCTGCAACGTACACTATATTTAAAGACAATAATATTTCTCCCACTCGACAACGGAAAAAATCAATGTCAATACAATATCTAGTAGTATAAGATTAATTGAAGACTCCCGAAGGGTTAATATTTTGTTACATTACGAAATAAAGTTTATAATAGAGGATGTATTATTTTCTATTAAGTCTCAAAGAAATTTATTAAAGTTTTAAAGATATTTGCTTGAATAGATATCATATTAAGACAACAAATGAAAGAGATACTTAATACTTTTATATTACATGTATTATCTCAAGTAAGAAGTGTGTTGAAAAAAAAATATTCGCTTTGTTTTCTAAATTAAACTACGTAAATATAGAATAATTAAAATTCATAGTAAATTAGAAGTTTACTAATGATTTTAATGTTTGGTATGATAGGTTAAACCATCCCGAAACAATAATGATGCAAAAAATTATTACAAATTAATATGATCATTCATTGAAAAACCATAAGATTTTTCAATTTAATGAAATACTCATGTGCTGCTTGCTTTTAAGATAAATAAATTATAAAGCTATCACCAATTAAAGTTGGGATTGAATTCCCTATGTATTTGAAACATATTCGGGGTTATATGTGTATTCATACATCTACCATGTGAGCCATTTAGATATTTTACAATTTTAATTGATGCATTGACTAAATGGTCGATGTGTACTTATTATCAATTTGTAATTTGACAATTACAAGATTCATCACTCAAATCATTTGTTTGGAAACACATTCTTTTGATTATGTAATTAAGACAATTCATCTTGTCAATACTGGTGAATTTACATATCAAGCTTTTAATATTGCATATTAATTGGAATAACTGTTGAAGAATCTGTTGCTTATGAGCATACACAAAACGGTTTAGTAAACTCATTCATTAAACACTTCTAACTGATTACAAGATTATTACTTATGAAATTTAAACTCTCAATTTCTATTTGGGGGACATACCATTTTGGATGCAATAGAACTTGTACGCATTACGTCAAATAAGTTATTATAAATTCTTTCTTGCATAATTGATTTATGGTCAAGAGCTAAATATTTCCCATCTAAAAAGTTTTGGATGTGCAGTATATGATCCAATTGCTCCACCATAACTGTAATGACCGCTCTTCGATCGCTGTCGGTGTCCCAGACTTTCGAGAATAACCATCAAGTCTCGAACAAGCCTTACTAGTAACTCTTGTTAATTCGTTATATTCAATTCACTATTCTATGTAATTGCTTTGATTCGTATAATCCCATGTGATATGATTTGGAATATTAGTAATAATAGATTGACTTAACCTTTACTCATTATATTTGTAAGAATCCATTAAGGTCCATAATACCCAACTCCACATTTATAATGATACTATTTACAAATACATCATGCTATAAAGGACTTGACTTTTAACAGCGGAGCGACTCGAAATAAGGAGCTATGAGATGCCTTTACCTATCTGTGGTAGAAAATATGTGTTGATGAACGTACGCTAGGCCGATCACTATATGCAAAAGGGAAAATAAGGGGGTGAGTTTCACAGACTCAGTGATCATTGGTTCTGTGAGTAGGGCGTAGATGGGAAACAAGTATAAAGCAGATAAATTTGAATAGTAAAACTACAATAAAAATGGTACTCTTATAAAAACTAATCACAAGGTATTTGTGCTTTGTAAAAATAATCTCTTTAGCTTGTCTCGGGTTCACTAAGCCGATCCTTTCTTTCCTTTTTCTTTTTCTTCCTTTCTTTATTTCTTTCTTTCTCCCTTTCTCTTCTTACTTTGTTATGGGCGGACTCCTCAAGGCAAAAGCCTTGGAAATGACTTTGGTTTCCCCATTTTGTTCACACATGGGCAGATTGCCCAAGGTTACTTGCTTTTTATATAGGTTTCTTTTCTTTTTATCTTTATTTTCTTTCATGGGCAGATTGCCCAAAGCTTCATGTCTTTTTGGCATGTTTCCTTTTGTTTTATGGGGTAAAAGTACAAGGCAAGAAGCCTTGGCAACCTTTCCACTCGCCATATCCATTTTCCATCCTTTTTCATTTTTATCTTCCTTTGCCACCCATTTCTTCCAATTACATGTCATGCACAAATTTCCTTTATATTTCAATTGGCCATTGTTGGTCCTAAATAAATGTGATAGAGGGGGG